AAGGAAACTGATGGTCAGGTTTTACTTGATCATCAGAGATTTGTGGGTTTGTTCCAAAGGCATTTATTGCCTTCGTCTTCTGGAACTGTACCGCGTAATGAAGCTCCAAATGATCAACCTCTGATGCCTCCTCCTCCTAGGGTTCTGTCCAGTACTGAGGCTCCAAATGATCCCCCTCCGGTGCCTTCTCTTTCTGGGGCTCTACCGACTGCTGAGACTTCTCCTAAGCAACCTTTGTGAAGGCTCCCTCTTGTGTGTTTATTTTGACTCATGTATATGTACATATTTGTAGCTTATCGGGGATATCAATAAATAAGCTTTCCTTCATTTCAACGTATTGTGTTAAATACACCAAAGCCTTCTTCGCTAAGTTCTTTGAATTTTTCTTTTGTTGAAGCTTGTATGTTGAAGCTTTCTGAGTGGAGCATGTAGGTTGGGGTAGTGTTCCCTTAATTTCCCGAGTGAGGAAAACTTCTTGGTTGGAGACTTGGAAAATCCAAGTCACTGAGTGGGATCGGCTATATGAATCTTAGAACGCCATTGTGCTCGATCCTGTGTCATGTCCTTTCGTTAGATCCAAGTACTCTAAGTCTTTTCTTAAAGTCTCTTCCAAAGTTTTCCTAGGTCTTCCTCTACCCCTTCGGCCCTGAACCTCTGTCCCATAGTCGCATCTTCTAATCGGAGCGTCAGTAGGCCTTCTTTGCACATGTCCAAACCACCGTAACCGATTTTCTCTCATCTTTCCTTCAATTTCGGCTACTCCTACTTTACCCCGGATATCCTCATTCCTAATCTTATCCTTTCTCGTGTGCCCACACATCCAACGAAGCATCCTCATCTCCGCTACACCCATTTTGTGTACGTGTTGATGTTTCACCGCCCAACATTCTGTGCCATACAGCATCGCCGGCCTTATTGCCGTCCTATAAAATTTTCCCTTGAGCTTCAGTGGCATACGGCGGTCACACAACACGCCGGATGCACTCTTCCACTTCATCCATCCAGCTTGTATTCTATGGTTGAGATCTCCATCTAATTCTCCGTTCTTTTGCAAGATAGATCCTAGGTAACGAAAACGGTCGCTCTTTGGTATTTCTTGATCTCCGATCCTCACCCCTAACTCGTTTTGGCCTCCATTTGCACTGAACTTGCACTCCATATATTCTGTCTTTGATCGGCTTAGGCGAAGACCTTTAGATTCCAACGCTTCTCTCCAAAGGTTAAGCTTTGCATTTACCCCTTCCTGAGTTTCATCTATCAACACTATATCGTCTGCGAAAAGCATACACCAAGGAATATCATCTTGAATATGTCCTGTTAACTCATCCATTACCAACGCAAAAAGGTAAGGACTTAAGGATGAGCCTTGATGTAATCCTACAGTTATGGGAAAGCTTTCGGTTTGTCCTTCATGAGTTCTTACGGCAGTCTTTGCTCCTTCATACATATCCTTTATAGCTTGGATATATGCTACTCGTACTCCTTTCTTCTCTAAAATCCTCCAAAGAATGTCTCTTGGGACCCTATCATACGCTTTTTCCAAATCTATAAAGACCATGTGTAAATCCTTTTTCCCATCTCTATATCTTTCCATCAATCTTCGTAAGAGATAGATTGCCTCCATGGTTGAGCGCCCTGGCATGAACCCGAATTGGTTGTCCGAAAACCCGTGTCTCTTGCCTCAATCTATGCTCAATGACTCTCTCCCAGAGCTTCATTGTATGACTCATTAGCTTAATACCCCTATAGTTCATGCAATTTTGTACGTCGCCCTTATTCTTGTAGATAGGCACCAAAGTGCTCGTTCGCCACTCATTTGGCATCTTCTTCGTTTTCAAAATCCTATTGAAAAGGTCAGTGAGCCATGTTATACCTGTCTCTCCCAAAACTTTCCACACTTCGATTGGTATATCGTCTGGGCCTATTGCTTTTCTATGCTTCATCTTCTTCAAAGCTACAACCACTTCTTCCTTCCGGATTCGACGATAAAAGGTAGTTTTCTACACTCTTCTGAGTTACTCAACTCCCCTAAAGAAGCACTCCTTTCATGTCCTTCATTGAAAAGATTATGAAAATAACCTCTCCATCTGTCTTTAACCGCGTTCTCTGTAGCAAGAACCTTTCCATCCTCATCCTTGATGCACCTCACTTGGTTTAGGTCCCTTGTCTTCTTTTCCCTTGCTCTAGCTAGTTTATAGATATCCAACTCTCCTTCTTTGGTATCTAGTCGTTTATACATATCGTCGTAAGCCGCTAACTTAGCTTCTCTGACAGCTTTCTTCGCCTCTTGCTTCGCTTTTCTATACCTTTCACCATTTTCATCGGTCCTCTCCTTGTATAAGGCTTTACAACATTCCTTCTTAGCCTTCACCTTTGTTTGTACCTCCTCATTCCACCACCAAGATTCCTTTTGGTGTGGGGCAAAGCCCTTGGACTCTCCTAATACCTCTTTTGCTACTTTTCGGATACAACTAGCCATGGAATCCCACATTTGGCTAGCTTCCCCCTCTCTATCCCACACACATTGGGTGATTACCTTCTCTTTGAAAATGGCTTGTTTTTCTTCTTTTAGATTCCACCATCTAGTTCTTGGGCACTTCCAAGTCTTGTTCTTTTTGTCTTACTCTTTTGATATGTACATCCATCACCAACAAGCGATGTTGATTAGCCACGCTCTCTCCTGGTATAACTTTGCAATCCTTACAAGTTATACGATCCCCTTTCCTCATTAGAAGAAAATCTATTTGTGTTTTTGACGACCCACTCTTGTAGGTGATCACATGTTCTTCTCTCTTCTTAAAGAAGGTGTTGGCTAAGAAGAGATCATATGCCATTGCAAAATCCAAGATAGCTTCCCCATCCTCGTTTCTCTCCCCAAAACCATGGCCACCATGAAAACCTCCATAGTTGCCTGTCTCCCTGCCCACGTGTCCATTTAAATCTCCTCCTATAAAATAACTTCTCCGTCTGAGCAATTCCTTGCACCAAGTCTCCAAGATCTTCCCAAAATTTCTCCTTCGAACTCGTATCCAACCCTACTTGAGGTGCGTACGCACTAATCACATTGATAAGTTCTTGTCCTATTACAATCTTGATTGCCATGATTCTATCTCCTACCCTCTTGATATCTACAACATCTTGTACCAAGGTCTTATCCACGATGATGCCAACACCGTTTCTCGTTCTATTTGTGCCCGAATACCAAAGTTTAAACCCTGAGTTTTCTAGATCCTTTGCCTTACTACCCACCCACTTAGTTTCTTGTAGGCACATAATATTTATCCTTCTCCTCACCATAACTTCCACTACTTCCATAGATTTTCCCGTTAAGGTTCCTATATTCCACGTTCCTAAACGCATTTTGCTCTCTTGAACTCTACCCTTCTGTCCTAGATTCTTCACCCTCCCCCGTCTAATAGGATCAAAGTACTTCTTTTGTGTGTCCCGGGTAAAGTTGATAGGAGCATATGCTCCCAAACAACTTTGAGTGGAGTCGTTCGAAAAGAAGTTTCTATGGCCCCCTTGCTCATTTAACACTGCATCCGGGTGCCGATGGAGATACAGCGACCCTTGCTCACTTATCACTGTGCTCGGGCCACACAGCGCGCCACTTACGGGTGACGCCCTAGCTTTAGCGCGATTTTGTTCTGGATTCATTTTCATAAGGATTCGACGTGATCATGGAGTGCCGGCTGTCGACTACCTGACGCCCTCCCCCTCCTCCTTTATCCGGGCTTGGGACCGGCCATGTAAGACATAGGCGGAGTTACATGAATGAAGCTAGACTTGATAAATACTACTGGTTTTTTGGCCTCACTAAGTGCATTGAGCTTTGTGTTTTATGTAATTTTGTCTAGGTGTTACACGAGTATGAAGGATTTGGACTTGGAAGATGAAATCTGTAAATAAAGCTCTTTGTAATTTTGTCCAACATATACATACCGGTACAACTTTTATTTGTTTATTATTTTATAACATTTAGGTACAGTTTATTTGATTGGAGAATCTTAATTATCGTCAGTTATATGCTCAGAGGAGAATTTTTACCCGTTATAAGATAAATTTTTTCGTACAATAGGTATATTTATTTGATACAAGAAATTAAGAAACATTATAAGTTCATGGATTTTGACAAATTTATTTGATACAGAAAATTATGAATATTATAAGTTCACGGCTTTTGATGAACTTACTAATAAGTGAACGTGGTGATCATCATCGATCCAATGTTGTATAGAGCTTTGATTCCACTAATATCATCCCTAGTCAGTCTCCGGCGTGTGAAGCCAGAGCTAATGGTGGGAAGCATTACAGCTCCTCGAACAGAGAACTATGCCCAAGCCCAAGCAGATGCCCAATTTCATGCCAAGCCACAGACTACAAGTCATAAGCACCCGTCACAACATCCACAGCCCACCGTTCATCCGCGTCGAAGTGAAATCTCCCATCAGTAGGTGCAAAAGAATGGGCCAAGACTCCACGGTGGCCATCAAATGGGTATCCATCTCCATGAGCACGTTTATGAAAAATAGAAAACTAACGAAAAGTTCAAACAAATTTTAATTTTAATGAAAAATGACAAATAAAGATATAATGAATAATATCAGGAAAAGGTAAAAATGTGGTTTTTCGATAAAAGTAAACAGTACCGGAAGTGTTTCGTTAAAACTCCAAAAAAGAATAATGCTCAACCGTGTTAGTCAAACCATGTCCACCGTTATGGTGAGGTTTATTTCCTGATTGCATAGAGGTGGTGCCGTTGACAATATCCGGAACACCGTATCAAGACTTCATCATATTCCGTACAGTTTCCGCGTCTAGTTTTACGGTAGAATTGAGGCTGTAGTTAAGCTGGTAAGTTTTGATGGAAGACTCCAACTGGGAAGGAGAGGAAGGAGGAGAGCAAAAATACTATTCTATCATCTATTTGTAATAAGGTTTTCTTACAATCTTGTAGTTTTCTTCCCTTATAATTAATCTGTACACATATTGGCGGATTGGCCTCAATACAAAGAAGAATATAATACATAAAATTTTCAAATATTTTAGCAGAAACACAATTACACAAAACAAATTGACTGTAAATACAAAACAAATTGAAAGTTGCATTATATGTGCATGTTCCTAAAACATCAGAGTTAACACACGTTCAACATATAGAAGGCCAGACATCCATATTTCTATAAGCTTCAAAAGCTCCAAAAAAAAATCATATTTTCAGCATATGTATGCTGCTACAACTTTAATTAATTATTGCAGAATTTCAATACACTCAAGTTGAGGTACCTTATTTGATTAAGGGATGAAAAAAAGGGTGAACTTCAATAATAAATACTACTTAATTTAATGATTAATCTTTGAGTACTCTTGATTATGTGAATATGCATGTGAAGATCAAGTACTATATAAAGCTTTAATTCCTTGAATATCATCTGCATGCAAACTTTGAGCAAATCCAGTACGAACGGTGGAGGACATCACAGCTCCTTCAACAGAGCTATGTCGTAGCCCCAACAGATGTCCGATTTCATGCAATGCCACAGTCTCCAAGTCATAAGCACCCTCCACAGCTCCCACAGCCCACGGCTCATCGGCATCGTAGTGGAATCTCCCATTGGTCGGTGCAAATGCATGAGCAAGGGTCCCGCCTCGGCCGTCAAATGGGTTCCCATCTCCATGATCACCACTAGCAAAACTTATTGTCAGATCCGCGTTCTCATAGGTTTGGGATTGACTGAACGAGAAGTGTGTGTTGCCTGCCCATGTTGTTAGTGTTACTCTAATTTAGCTGGATTTGTTTTTAGAATACTGAACAGAAGCAAAAGCAAAGATGGAAGATGAACCGAAAAATAGTTTTTTTTTTTCTTTCTTGTTCTCTACTGCAAAAATATTGCAGAGGAATATTTTGTACTACACAGAGAAATGAGCACTCACACTGCTTTACATTTAACTGATGGCCTTAGCTTTAGGACCACACTAAACACTACTTTTAATCTTAGTCACTCATCAACCTAATTACATGGATCAAACACCACATGGCACTCATGGCCTTACATCATTTAACCTTACACTTGGCATATATGCTCAAATGAATACACACATTAAAACTCATCTTATTTCTAATACTTAATCAGCTAGAGACTTATAATTCAACACTCCCCTTTAAGTCTTGAGCTGATTTCACTCCTAGCATGTTCCTGAGATAATTAAACCGATCTTTAGGCAGAGGTTTTGTGAAGATATCAGCAAGTTGTTCATTAGTTGGACAGTACACCAGATCAATGATACCATCCTTCAGTGCATCCTTGATGAAATGGTATCTTCTGTTAATGTGTTTGGTCTTTTGATGAAACACAGAGTTCTTGGTGATTGCAATTGCTGAGGTGTTGTCACAGTGCACTGGAGTGGCTTCGGTTTGAAATTCACCAAAGTCTTCAAGCACAAATCTCAACCAAATGGCTTGAGTAGTTGCTTCTGAAGCACTGATGTACTCTGCTTCTGCAGTGGAAAGAGCAACGCAATTTTGCTTCACAGATGCCCAAGAGAATACTCCACTGCCAAAGGAGAAAGCATAACCAGAAGTACTTTTACTGTCCTCAATTGATCCACTCCAGTCACTGTCACAGAACCCAATTAACATTGAGTTCTTACCCTTCACATATTCCAGACCATAATCAAGTGTACCCTTAATGTATCTTAGCACTCTTTTAGCAGTTCCAACATGCTTACTGGTAGGGCAGTGCATAAATCTGGCTAACAGACTGGATGCATACATAATATCAGGCCTGGTTGCAGTGAGATATAAGAGACTTCCCACAAAACTTCTGTATAACTCTTCACTTGCAGCACCACTTCCATCATTCGTGGTTAACTTCTCAGTTGCAACTAATGGAGTAAGCACAGGTTTGCACTCTTTTAGACCAAATTTGTCTAACAAAGAGCTTGCATATTTCTTTTGGTGGATGAAAATGCTTGAAGTGGTCTGAATTATTCCCATTTCAAGAAAATGATGTAGAGAAGGCCCAAATCAGTCATCTCATACTTTCGTTTCATGTCTTCCTTGAATTCTTCAAGCATTTGTTTGTTGCTCCCAGTATAGATTATGTCATCCACATAGATCGACACAATCAAAATGCCTTCCTCTTCTGTCTTGATGTACAGTGTTGGTTCACTTAAGCTTCTTGTGAAACCACATTGTGAGAAATAGGTATCTATTTCTCCATACCAGGCCCGTGGTGCCTGTTTTAGACCATACAAGGCTTTGTGAAGTTTGTATACCCTGTCTTCCTCCCCTTTAGCTACAAAACCATCAGGCTGCTCCACATAAACCTCCTCCTCTAGAACACCATTCAGAAAAGCCGATTTGACATCAAGTTGATAGAGTTTCCAACACTTTTGTGCAGCCAATGCTATAAGAGTTCTGATTGTATCTAAACGGGCAACAGGAGCAAAGGTCTCGTTGTAATCTATTCCTGGTTTCTGGGCATATCCCTTTGCAACAAGCCTTGCCTTGTTCTTTTGCACAGTTCCATCCAAGTTGAGCTTGGTTTTAAACACCCATTTTACTCCAATTATAGGCTTGTTACTTGGCCTGTCCACTAACTCCCAGGTTGCATTTTTTTCAATCATTGAAAGCTCATCCTTCATAGCATTCATCCAAGATTCATCCTTACTTGCATCTTCATATCTCTCTGGTTCCATAATGCACAGATTACATTTAGCAAGTACATCATCCAGCCTTCTCCATTTTAATGGAGTATGATCAATCACTTGTGAATCTCTTGTACTTTCACAAGATCTACTAGAGGATTCAGTAGATTGGACTTGAGGAGTAACCGGTGCATTATCAGTATCACTTGTTATTTCTGTCAAACTTCTAGATGGCAAAGTATTAGAGGTTGGGGTCTCAACCTCTGTGAATGCACTGCTTGGTGACTCACCAGACTGCCCTTCATAATTGAACATAGACACATGTTTCTCTGTGCTTTCCTGCCAATTCCAACTTGAATCTTCATCAAACACAACGTCTCTTGACAGTATTACCCTTTTAGAAAATGGATCAAAGACCCTATAACCTTTCTCACACCTTGCATAGCCAATAAAAACTCCCTTTAGACTCTTAGCTTCTAATTTGTGCCTTAATTCAGCTGGGATATGAACATAACAAACTGAGCCAAAAATCTTCAAATGTGCAATACCCGGTTTCCTTCCACTGTAAGCTTCAAAGGGGGTTATGTTATCAAGAGACCTGGTAGGACATCGATTCAGAATGTACACAGCAGTATGCACAGCTTCTGCCCACATATAATAGGGCATTCCTTTATCGTGTAGCATAGACTTAGCCATTTCAACCACGGTTCTGTTTTTCCTTTCCACCACTCCATTTTGCTGTGGAGTGTATGCAAGAGAAAGTTGCCTTTGAATGCCTTCTGTATCACAGAACTGATTGAACTCAGTAGACAAGAACTCCCCTCCTCTGTCACTCCTCAGACATTTCACCCTTAAACCAGTTTGTAACTCAGTCATTGCTTTGAATTTCTTGAAAGCAGGAGAAGGCCTCAGATTTATATTTAAGAAAGTATACCCAGATCATTCGTGTTGCATCATCCACAAGCAGCATAAAGTATTTGTTTCCTCCAGTGGATTCATTTCTCATTGGTCCACATAGATCAACATGGATCAATTCGAGTGAAGCACCAGCTCTTTGTGTTTGACCACTAGGGAAACTTTCTCTGTGCTGTTTACCATATTGACAACCTTCACAGACTCTATCATTCTCTTCTAGATCTGGTAATCCATGAACCATATCTTTCTCCTTCAATTTTTTGATTCCACCAAAGTTTAGGTGGCCAAGTCTTCTGTGCCAAGTCCGGGCACAGTTAGCAAAACTGAGCTTCAACACAAGTTGCTTTTCAGAACTTAGAGATAGAGGATAGCATCTGTTTCCTCTCATCTTTACACTGATAATTTGACATTCCAGAGAAGGGCCATCAAAGACAGTACACATACCTCCACCAAACACAAGATAGTATCCGTGCTCATCCATTTGTCCTACACTAAGTAGATTCTCTTTCAAGCCAGGTAGGTACATGACTTCTCGAATGTATTTTCTTCCTCTGTTAGTCTCAATTTCCAGTGATCCAATTCCTGCCACATTAACTAATCCTCCTGTTGGCATTTGAACCTTCCCTGCAACATTCGTATTCACATCAACAAGAAGATCAACATTTCCTGTCATATGATTACTGCAGCCGCTATCTATGTACCAATCTCCATTAACCTTAGTCTCAGCAACTGCACAATTTGCATAAAACAAGTTCCCTGTTACTTCCATTTGACTGGCACAGTTTGCCTTTTGAACAGACTTTCCAACAGTACATTCTTTTGCCCAGTGCCCAAATCTGTCACAGTTATAGCACTTAGATTTCCCCTTATACCTACATTCACCATAATGAAACTTTGAACACACCTTACATTGAGGTTTTACACTCTCTTGACCCATACCCTGTGAGGAAGTACTATTCTGTGCAACACTTGTGTGTATGATTTTTGCTGAAACTTTGGTTTTGACTCCCATTTCTTGCCCTTTTGATTCCAATTTCTCTGTGGTTTAAAGGTACTAGACTGAGCATAACTTCGATTCTGCCCTTTTGAACTAACAGTAAGAGAAGAAAATGCTCTCTCAGTTGCATCTGAGGAATGCAAATCAAACCTCTGCTCTTGACTCTTCAATATAGCTAATACCTCTTGCAGTTCAACAGATTCTAAACATTTAGTGTTTTCTATCACTAAGCATATAGGATCATATATCTTAGTGAGACTGATTAACACCTTCTGAACTAATCTCTCATTTGACATAGTTTCACCAAACGTCTTCATTTGATTAATCAGATCATTTAAACGAGTAAGATACCCAGTCAAAGATTCATCATCACGCATTCTAGTGTATTCAAATTCTCGTCTAAGATTCTGGAGTTTCACAGATCTTACCTGATCCCCACCGTGATATTCGCCATATAACAGATCCCATGCCATTTTTGCTGAGTCTGCGTTTGCGATTCGAGGGAAAATCTGATCGGAGACTGCGCTTTGAATGATTCCGAGAGCTTTTGCATCTTTCATGAAGATTGCAGCCATTTTCTCATCATCGTCAACATCAACCTCTGTATGTTCATCAGTCTTAGCTTCCTTCTTCTTCGAATCAGGAACCGGAATCCCTTTTTCCACCAGATTCCACAGTCCATACGACTTGAAAATGGTAACCATTTTGATTCTCCAGAACTCGTAGTTCTCACCGGAGAAAGATCGGGGTCCTCACTTCAGCACTCCCAGGTCCAGCCATCGTGAGCTTGTGTGAACCCAGAAACACGTAGTTCTTAGATCACAGATAAGCTCCGGCAAACTTCACCAAGTCCAGAGACGGTGACGTTTGAGCTCACAGAAACACGCCCAGATCTAATCGAAACAAGGCTCTGAGGCCATGTTAGTGTTACTCTAATTTAGCTGGATTTTTTTTTTAGAATACTGAACAGAAGCAAAAGCAAAGATGGAAGATGAACCGAAAAATAGTTTTTTTTTTTCTTTCTTGTTCTCTACTGCAAAAATATTGCAGAGGAATATTTTGTACTACACAGAGAAATGAGCACTCACACTGCTTTACATTTAACTGATGGCCTTAGCTTTAGGACCACACTAAACACTACTTTTAATCTTAGTCACTCATCAACCTAATTACATGGATCAAACACCACATGGCACTCATGGCCTTACATCATTTAACCTTACACTTGGCATATATGCTCAAATGAATACACACATTAAAACTCATCTTATTTCTAATACTTAATCAGCTAGAGACTTATAATTCAACAGCAAAAGCGCGCGCAACTGCGTCCCGGGCCTCAGTTGGGGTGGTTTGATCAAAAGCATAGGTGAGATGGTACTTAGAAGAAGGCCATTTAGGGTTTCCAGGGAAGAAAGAATAATGAGCAACTGTGTGAGGCGAACCATGTCCGCTGTGGTGGTGAGGGTGTCTTTTCTTTCCCGATCGCATGGAGGTGGTGCCATTGATGATGTCTGGCACACCGCATCGCGGCATCATCATTTTTGATACGGTTTTGGCATCTAATGTTCCGGTGGCTTTGAGGTGGTAGTTGAGCTGGTAAGTTTTGATCGCTGACTCCAAGATGTCGTCGAAATCATCATTATCGGAATGGCCGTTTAAGTATCCAAATTTTTCAAGGTACTTCTTTAGGTCTTGGATGCCTTGGACCTTGTCGCCCTTGTGACACCCCTTAAGATGGTTGAGAAACTCGAATGGCGACGTGTTTTTGTTGTGGGTTTCTGACGACGTTGCATGGGAGAAGAGAGAAAGGAGGACAAAGAGAAAAGTGATTGTGAACAGAGAAAGAGTACATTTTGAAGCCATTGTAAACTACTTAAGCACTTATGATTAAGCAGATTGTGGATATATTGCAAAAGCTTTGTATTTGGAGGGCTATTTATAGGTCTAATAGCGAGATAAATTATTGCACAAATTGAGATTGAGCTGGGTCTTCAATAGTAATATGATCATGACCTTGACTATGCATGGCTAAGTCTTGCAAGGTTCGAGATGATGGTCCAGAAGAAGAAATAAATAAATAAATCGGGAACAAAATTAGTAGACTAATTCTTGGTGCAGACTCCAGAATATACGTATAAAACCAGCCAGCCAAAGAGAGAAACTGTCGGAATAATAAATTAAAGTTAACTAGAAACAAAGACCTAACCCAAAAATTCCACATATGCGTCAAAATTAAGGTTTTCTAACCTAAGTATGTTTCAAATGTTGTATAGTGGAGACACAATGAAATACCATTAAAAAAAAATGGGTACGTAACATCCTAGAAATCACTTGCGAATCGCTCTGTTTTTATGTATTGTTTTTAATTTGATTTTTCTGTTTTGAAAAATGGTCCATATGACTCCTGTGTAGGGGTGGTTCGGTATGGGATACCATACCGAAACTAGTATCCCGAATTCCAAATCGAAAATTTTCGGGACGGGAATTTGAAGACCATTCCCAAACCAAATTTTCGGGAATCCCAAATTTCGGGAATCCCAAAATATTTTTGGGATTTCGAGACAAATCGGGAATCCCAAATTTAAATTTTAAATTATGAATTGTTCTTCAAATATATAATTCAAGAACTAGGAATGTCATTTCATTCACACTACCATTTAATCGAACACTGGCATGCCTGACTATTTTTATCAAAGTCAAAATTCAAATTAATTAAACCCTTTTTGCAATCTATTAAGAGACAAAAGAATCAAGCATTCTGAAATCATCAACCATGGTAGCAGCAATAATAAAATCCAAATGAATATTAAACAGAACATGAAAAATATGCAAGGTGTAGGGCATTCCAGGTTGCAGAGCATGAATTAGAAACTACTAGCATCAATTATAAAAGAATAATATATATAATATATATGTAGAAATATATATATATAATAATAATTAATATTATACATTTTTGGTTCGGTATGGGATTCCCGAAATATCGAGAAGCCAATCCTGAATCCCGTACCCAAATTTCGGGATCGGTTCTGGATAGCATCCCAAAATTTTCGGGAATTTCGGTTTGGGAAATTTTTGGTTTGGGATCGGGATTTTTTCGGTTTGGTTCGAGATTTTTGGGAATTTTTTCCACCCCTACTCCAATGTGCACTCTACTTTGCCGGCCTGATTTTTTTTAAGGAAAACTAATGAAAAAGCTTGAAAACTTTGAGTTTTAATGATAAGGACAAAATAAAGGGTAAAGTGAATAGTACCAGGATTGACTTTTTAGTGTAAAAATGTGGTTTTTCTTTAAAGTGAACAGTACCGGGTGCTTTTCGTTAAAGTTCCCATTTTTTAAATCAAGATAAACTAAAACTAATCCCTAACAACAAAAAGGAATATATTTTACGTGTAATTGTCTTTGGCTTGTTTTTTTTACATAGCAAGCATGAACCCTAGCCTTCACCATCATTCCTCTGCAATTCTTTTATTCTTTCTTCCTCTTCGTCTCTTTCTTTTTCAAATCCTAAGCCTCTCTATACAATTGAAGGGGCGAATCAAAATATATAACTAGGTTTAGAGGATTGCAAATAATGTAAGCATATGGAATCTATGAGTTTAATCTTTTTTTAATTTGGTAAACTATGAATTTATATTTTATGGTTGTGGATATATTTTGTTGGGTGTTATTATTATTATTATTATTTTGTTCCAGTTTATATGTTCATAAGTGATGATATGATATTCAAGCATTCACAAAAGACAAATTCTATGATTGTTATGCATTGAAGATTGAAGGGCCCACAAAAAAGTAGCAATCCATGTGAGCAAAATTCTATCACTCTCCCTCTACCTACGAATACACTTATATTCTCCTTTTATTATTTTTAATTCTTTTTTCTTAGTTATTTTTCTTGCAATTTGGCTAATTAATGATTGTTTTAAATTCCATAAGAATTAAAATTTCAAATTGATTTAACGTTCATGGGCATTGATGAGTGAAATTTTCAAATAATTTTTTTTTAAAATTGTATGATACTAATTTATCAATTGGTGCTAGGTAAATTGTTGTGTTATACATGAAAGTCAAATTATTCAGAGGGCAAAGTGGGGGTTTGCTTCTTTCAACGGATGAGATTGAGATAGGGGAATCTAATCCAACAAACGATTGATAAGTGATGAAATCTAACATTGTCACAATTTGAACTTTTTAGGTTGAAAGGTTCATATAAAAAAAAATTAAGATAACACGTCTAAAAATCAACTTAAGAAAAACTAACACACAAAAATAAATTATCGCTTAATCAAATTACTACATAAATAAATATATATAGCCCTATATAGAGCCCGAAAGATATAGCTCCTCATTAGAAGAGATTCTTTTATAAAACCCCAAAGATTCCTTGGAGCTCAAAAATTAGTTATATCCACCACTTTTCTAGCCTTATATAGAGCCCCTCACTGCGGACGCTCAACAATGGCTTGCCTAAGGCCATGTAAGTTGTCTTTTTTGAATTCTTAAATATATTATCATGTCATCTATCATGAACATCTAGACTAAAACAAAAAAAAGATTATATTCATAGTCTTCTATAGGCTTTCCTTGAGTTGCAATCTTCTAAACCTAATGATATATTTTGATTCACCCCTTCACCTGTATAAAGATACTTAGAAATTTGAAAAAGAAACAGACAGAGAGGAAGTGAGATAAAAGGATTTGCAGAGGAATGATGGTGAAGGCTATGGTTCATACTTGCTATACACTTGAAATACGTTTCTTTTTGTTGTTAGGGGTAGTTTTAGTTTGTCTTGATTAAAAAAAATAAAGACGGCAAAGCAGGTTCTTAAATTGCACGGCCCCTCTTAAATGTACATGGTATGATCCTTTTTTTCAAAATAGAAAAATTGAATTAAAAACAATTCATAAAAGAATATCACACACGGGATTTGAAACACGAACCTTGGGGGAAAAAGCTTAAGTGTTTTAAAAAAAAACATTGCTTTGTCATTATTTCTACATTTATTAAATATTAAATATCATATCTCTACTAATTAATTAAAATCTCTTTGTCAATCAAAAGAGGATGAAAAGACAACTTAGTCTTCTATCACAAAAAAAAAAATGGTGGGCAATAATGTACTTTCACAGATCCAAATTTTACTGTTTTTTATTGAAACCTCACCTACATGTGATATTAAAATACCTCCAATATTTAAAAAAAAAAAAAACCGAAAACACCTCCCACTTCCCCACATTCTCTCTCTCCCTCTCTCCTTCTCATTTTCCAAAAAAATGTGTAAGCAAATGCTAGTATCTATTAAGTAAAAACAAAAAATTTGGACCCAGCGAAATCAGGTGCTCCCGTCAAAGACGGGTCTGTGAGCATACCCCTCAAAGTGCATGGATTTGTCAAAAGAAAAAAAACACATGAATTTGTAAGCAATGTGCCCAAAACGATGTTTTAACTTTACCAAGAACCCTAAAAAGACTAATTTGTGCGCTCTAAATCATCTCTATTCTCCAATTGAGAAAGTGATAGACGCATTAGATGTGTTTAAAATGCCACCACAAAAATATAATGTCTCATTTTTGATATACATATGGAACATTAACATCAACAACAACAACAAAGCCTTTTCCCACTAAGTGGGGTCGGCTATATGAATCCTAGAACGCCATTGCGCTCGGTTTTGTGTCATGTCCTCCATTAGATCCAAGTACTCTAAGTCTTTTCTTAGGGTCTCTTCCCAAGTTTTCCTAGGTCTTCCTCTACCCCTTCGGCCTTGAACCTCTATCACGTAGTCAGATCTTCGAACCAGAGCGTCATGAGGCCTTCTTTGCACATGTCCAAACCCATTTTGTGTACGTGTTGATGCTTCACCGCCCAACATTTTGTGCCATACAGCATCGCTGACCTTATTATCATCCTATAAAATTTTCCCTTGAGCTTCAGTGGCCTACGACGGTCATACAACATGCCGGATGCACTCTTCCACTTCATCCATCTAGCTTGTATTCTATGGTTGAGATCTCCATCTAATTCTCCGTTCTTTTGCAAGATAGATTCTAAGTAGCGAAAACGGTCGCTTTTTGGTATTTCCTGATCTCCGATCCTCACCCCAAACTCATTTTGGCCTCCATTTGCACTGAACTTACACTCCATATATTCTGTCTTTGATCGGCTTAGGCAAAGACCTTTAGATTCCAACACTTCTCTCCAAAGGTTAAGCTTCGCATTTACCCCTCATGAGTTTCATCTATCAACACTATATCGTTTGCTAAAAGCATACACCAAGGAATATCATCTTGAATATGTCCTGTTAACTCATCCATTACCAACGCAAAAAGGTAAGGACTTAAGGATTGTTGATGCACAAAATCAGTGAGGACTTTGGTACAACAGAAAGTAATAAGTTTGTGATCTTTGCTAGATTGCTCTGGTCATTAGTGTGGTTAAGTATGTAAATGGATAGAGACAGGAAAGCAAACACAAGATGTACGTGGTTCACCCAGATTGGCTACGTCCACGGAGTAGAGGAGTTCTCATTAATTGTGAAGGGTTTACACAATACATAGGTTCAAGCTCTCCTTTAGTGAGTACAAGTGAATGATTTAGTACAAATGACATTAGGAAATAGTGTGGGAGAATGATCTCGTAATCACGAAACTTCTAAGTACCAAAGTGTGGTATCGTCTTCACTTGCCTTATCTGTCTCATAGGTAGATGTGACATCTTCTCTGGAAGTACTCTTCCTCCATCCAGGGGTGGTATCGTTAACTGGTGGAGATGCACAAGGTAATGTATCAATTTCACTTGAAGCTTACTTGTAGTTTCATGCTTGGTCAAGCACAATACAAACCATGTAGTAGGAGTCCCCCAAGTCGTCGAGCTAGGGGATCTGCTGAAAGAGGTGACAGACAAGGTAAGCAATCAGAG